CAAGGATATTCGAACACTGTGATTCAACTATAAGAGATTGAGTGGGGTCTGAAAGGTCAAGGCCTGTACCCTCAAAGAATTCAGGCTTGTATTTGGAATCATGTTCTCCCCTGCTGAACTTTACCCTCTCAAACACACACACACACACACACACACACACACACACACACACAGGTTAGGGAGCAACAACAGCCTGATGACACAAACAGACAACAGGTGCAACAGGGTCATGAAGAAAAGGATGGCTCATAATGGCACAGAAACCTGGGAGAGGCCCTCAAAGATGGTCCTCTGAGCCTTTGCCTGCTCCATTCCACCTGCCAGCCCGGTCTGCCATTCCTCTCTCTCCTTTCCTGCCTACCTCTGTGAGCAGAGCTCAGTTACCACCTCCCCCACGGAGTCCTGTCCAGCGATTTCAGCCCACGAGGACTTTCTCTTTTTTCTCAAATCCCATCGCCTGATCACTGGAATCTCTCATTTGAATAAGAAGACAGCACAAACCAGACTCCCTAAGGATCAGACTGCCTCTCACTGGACCCTCACACTGATTCATCCAGCTGCTGTTAGAAAACATCAACTCACCGCCCGGTGAATTTCCATTTTAACGGTACTAGGAAAACAACGCCCTGTCCATTTTAATTAGTGGAGTGTTGAAACACTGGGCACAGTGAGACTAAGGAGAAAGAGACTGGCCTTTCTTAAAACACCTTGAGGGTGATTTGGCAAACGAGCCTGCTTTGTATTTATTGCTCCTGGTATCTGTCTCGGGTAGCACACACCATTCTTTACAGCCCTGAGCCGAACCATTCTTTTCACAAACAAGCAAGGAGAAGGATGGGGTATTTCAATCTCTGTTCCACAGGAAAGGAAATTTAAACTAACACAGCGGTTTATTTAAGAGCTCGAGACAGAGCTGCGGGAAAGCTGCACTTTCTAATGATCATCTTGTCCTCTCAGGTCTGGATTTCTTAAACCAGGGTGTGTGGCTTCTAGTTCCTCCGCCTAGCCCACCCACTGCCACCTTAGGACAGTCCCTGATCACAAGCAAACGAGAGCTCCGTGGAGGAGGGCAGCTGAGGCTCCAGGCACCCCGGGGCCTCCTCAACATGCAGGGAGGGCCCGGCCAGAAGAGAGCCAGAGGGGGCCTTGTAAAGCGAGGGGCAGAAAGTAGGTCCCCCCTGTGCTTGCCTAGGACTGACGAGGCCAAATAGCCACCAAAGTCTTGGGCCCACCTGGCTCATCTTCCTGGAGCAGCAATTGTAAGAAAAGACCTGGAGGATTTACTTTTTTTATATCAAATAACTACAGATCTGGTACAGAGTAAACTGCAAATATTAAACGAATGGTCAAGATAAACATATACTTGCTTCTGGCAGCCGTGGCCTCTGCTTTGGTCTCCCACAGCTATGGGTTAACTCTCCTCTCTGACCGAGGTAAACTAGGGGAAATTTTAAAGAGGAACTGGTAGGAATATAGTAGGTTTACATGATAGAGTTTCTGGAACTTGAGATCTTCATCTTTAGTTTCTTTCCTTTTTTTTTTTTTTTTTTACGCAAGATAGAATTATATTTTCTGGGACGATTCACGCGAAGGTTTGGAGAAAAACAGGTGATGTTTACAACCACATATCCTCATTCATCCCCTAATTTTCCTTCTTGATCAACCAGGCAACTTCGGAGCCAACCGGTCAGAAGCAGCTCCCTGGGCCGCCCACCTTCGGCGTTAGCTGTTTTTGCTGTCACCAGGGATGAGGAAAATGAATGACAAACACACCTCTGAAGAGAATAAGAATTTGAAGTTTGTAAATTATTTTCACTTAAAGGGTTATAAAATTTACTAATGTTCTCTAGTCAGGCAAAAATGCCACAGACTTGAGCAACAATTAAACCCAGACTTTAACCTCCACAATTTTAGCATCTCATAAAGAGATTCTCACCTTCCACTTTCTACCTTCCCACCTCAGCAGCACCATCACGGATTGAAAAGAATCACATTTGTGCGGAGGGAGAAGCAAAGATGTATTCTTCTCTCTTTCCAATGGGACCATGCACTGCTTATACTCCAGTCAAGAAAAAAAATAACCACTTTGACTCTGAAATAAGCCAGAAACAACATGGCCACTCTGCCCTGAAGTTGGTCCCCAAAATAACAAAACCTTGAACACGTCTCATAAGCCTGGCCTCCCTAAGAAAAGATCAGTTTTTTCCCTCTTTGCTAGTGGATGTCTGAAGATAAGTCATGGCTTTGGGGAATATGACAACCGTGTGAGAAAGCCGTTCTCCACTATGAACAACGGACTAACGTACGCTTGAGAACTCTGGTCACTTTATGGGGTGTTTCCCTGCAAGTATTTATTACATGTTCATCTGATGAGCCAGTCTTCTGAAGCCCAACGCCCTTGGACTCGGGGCAAGTAAACATTTTCTTTCCTTTTCTAAATGCTGCTACCCCCGAGTCTTCCTTTGCCTGAAGTATGTGTAACATCAAGCAAGCAGGCTGCTAATCTGGAATATTTCAACCCAAGCACATATAACCCATGTTCTGAGCCAGCACAACTGGGGGACTCCGTCAAATGCCAATCTTATTTTTCTCGTCCACTGCCTCTTAAAATGCATCCAGTGAGGCCATCTTCCCTGGCCTCAGACGAACACCTGAGCAGATCCCATGGCTTTTCTGCTGAAGTAACCATTTCAAAGTCCCTAAAGAATTAAAATGCCCAGCCTGGAAATAAAGAAACTCCAACCTAGTTACACCATCAAATCTGTCGCCCCATCCCAGCCGGCCCCTGCCGTGAGCTGGTCTCCTGCACGGACTTGGGGATGGTTGGCCTCTTTTCTCCTCCTCCACCTCATGCCCAGCCGCTGGTCAGTTTCTCACCTCTCCAAGATCAAAGCAGGAGGACGAGGGCGAGACAGTATTGACTATCTTCAAACACTCTCCTTGTGGGTGCTTCCGTGACACTCATTCTCCCTCATCTGACTGCTCACTCCTACCTTAGCCTCTGAATTTCTGGAAACTCTAGCTGCTGGGCTGAACTTAGAGCAGCTCCAGGCCAGCCCTCTCTCCCACGTGGCCCCACTGGTCCCCAGGAAATCCTCAGGCATCCTTTGCCCCGACGAACTCTGGGAAGGCAGGTGATGCTGTTGCCCCGGCCACCACGTGAGCCGCAAATGCAGGAAACACATGTACAGCTCACCGAGTGGTCCCATGAAAGCCCCCTCACTAGCCTCAGGATGAAGGAATTGATGACAGACCTCGCCGAAGAAACCTCTCTAATAAAACCTCCCCTCTCAATCCTCATATTCTTGAAGGGGCCAGTGGGGTTTGTGAGTTATGGAAAAGTTCTCAAATATCTCCCTTGAAATTTCTACCTGGTAGTCTAGCACCTTCCTGTGGAATTTCACATAACTTGAATGTGTGCCTCAGTAAATTTAGTGCCCTATTTACACATACACACACATAAATGCTCACGACAGATGATTAATTTCCAATTATTTTTACTCATATATCTAATAAAATTGAGGAATTTGAGCATTGACAGGGGCACTCAGGGAAATAAATTCAACAGATCCCTCACCCGGTGGGGAATCTTCTCCCCAGTCCTGACGGGAGGTCACCCAGCACTGGCTTGACCTGCCACCAGGAACAAACCTACTTCCTCTTCCTCAGACATCTCAGGACTGGCCTCCTTACCGGCCGCGGTTAAACCCTCATTGCTCCTCACATGGTCGGGTGTTCAGACTCTCCTCAGCCAGGTCACCTCCCTCTGGATACCCTGAAGTTGGGCCTTGTCCTCTATACAGGGGCCGCCAGACTTGAGGCTGAGTACAGTGGACCCTGGGCTCCTGTGATGGAAACGCCACAGGGTGGGGGCAGACGGCAGTGGTTAAGGGCCCAGGTTCTAATCCCAGTTCTACTTACTGGCTACATAACCTTGGACAGAGTACTTAACCCCGTGTGCCTTCACTACTTCACTGGGTTGTTATAGGGATTGAGATAAAATTGTGAAGCACTCCTAAGTATGCCTGGCACATGGTAAGCACCATACATATGTCTGTGAAAAAAGGCAACCCAAGTTTGCTATTGAATGGCTGCTTCACACTACGGCTCCTTCAGGGCGCGGTGGGCCATGGAAACCCCCAGGCTTTTCCTTTCACATGAACTGCTGCTCAGCGGGGACCCCCCAGCCTTTACACCTTTAATTGACTCTCTGAAGCTAAATGCAGAACTAGACCTTCAACCCTACTGTGAGCTCAACATTCAGTATTATTATCTCTTGTCCAGACATAAAAGGGGCCTCAAAGAGTATTCTCCCAGACCTGTAGTTGCCACAACTCTGATAAATGTCCCTTCCATGTCTTTCTCCTGATGAACGACCCACGGAGGTGCAGGGGCGGGGACAGACCTTGTATGTCCACTCTCCCCCCATCTTCTCCTTAGGGACAGCATGAGACTTTGTATAATGCCTCTGCACAGGCAGGACACACTGTAGACTGGCCATGATGGGGGAGGAGGTGGTCAGTGACTGAAATGTTTGTAGGTCCCTAGCTTTGGGAACTTCCATTTGTAAAACCTAAACAATGACAGCCACCCAGCTGTGAGGACTAAAGGAGACTGTGCAGTGGAAGGCACCTAGTCAGGTACTGTCACACGGAAGACATTAAAATGTCAACAATAAAGGATTCACAGATGAATTTCGATTGGCAAAATACTTCAGCATCTGTGGCCTAGAAACATGGCGGGGGGGGGGGGGGAAGGCTACATTTTCCAGAATGTGCTGATAATATAAATTGCAAGATAAAAAATGACCCCCATTGTGAGCAGAGTGGAGTTAGCCTAGGGACGGCCACAATAGGTCTGCACATCCACCCAGAGGTCGCAGGAAAAACAACACACACAGGTCACAAAACAATAGTTACCCTTGCACATACAATGCACTCGAATGTTTTCTCTCCCCTTCTATTGAATTTCATGTTTTACAAAATGCTGGTGCAACTCACCACATTGATATCTTTCCCCTAATGAGTCATAACCCACATTTGAAAAACAATGGATATGGCATGCCCCAATCTCCAGCCCAGGAGGGTGCTAGAAAAGAGAAAGAAGTTAGTTTGGCATAAATTGTCTTATAAATCGTTTCCTGGTAGTTGTGAGCTGTCTTCTTTAAGAATTTCTTCTGGAATGTGGCCAGGATTCACATCTCCCTCGTTTGAAAAGTCTGCTGGCTCTGCTCTCATCTCTCTCGCCTGCTCTAGCCTGCATGTCGTTTGGGCTTTGAACGTCCAGCCCAGTTTCAGGCTTCAAGACCCTCTTAACCAAGTTTGGGCTGGCCACGTCATTTTGAAAAGAAAGCAATCCACGGGGAGCAACTCATCCTCCTCCAGTCACCTCTTAATATCACCTCCTTTTCCATAAACCCTGGATGTTCTTCCTGATCAGAATAAAACTCCCCGTTGTGGGCTCCCCAGCTCATGGTGGCCTCTCCCGTCTGGACCTTATCCTTGCAGGCCCAGGCCACTTCCCTACCTGCATGCCTGGTGATGCGCCCCATGTGACGTACCTGAGGGACACCAGCCTCACAGAAGCCCCCACCCCCACTAGTGTTAAGTGGGGCATTCAGCTTGGAAAACTTAGTTAATATCTCAACTAAATTTTCTTCACGTGTAAACTGGAAGTACCACCACTTACCTTCGAGTTTTCATGAGAATTAATTTCTCTACAGGAGCTCCCTTCTCTCCCCCGGAGGAGCACAGACACTTTCCCCCAAGCTCCTTTCGCTTTCAGAGCACCATCGAGCGTTTCCTTGTCGTCAGATTAAATCCAGAGTATTATCGGGACTCCCCATGTCATCTAGACTGCGGCGGAAACCACGCCTCAAAACAAGTTCCTAACGAGGCGACTCTGTCTTTCTCAATTAATTACACAGAAAGGATGGACATGGGAGAGAAACAAAACCGTTATTTCTCTCTAATCAGTAAAATGGCCTGCGGGCATGTTCCCCAGGGCAAACAAAATGAATTGACGACTGTCAGGGCAGGGATCCTTCTGAGAACGCTGGTCCCCGCAGGAGGCGCGCGCCCGGAGCCGGAGGACTGCGTTTCGCCTGGCCCGGCAGCATCCCCGCGCCGCAAGGGCTCTCTCGTTGCGGGCACAGCGGTGCCGGGCGGACCAGAGCAGGACAGTCTCCTCCCGGGCGGGCGGAGGTGTGACCCGACCCTCCCAGCCGAGAGGGGGGACCCACCCCAGCTCCAGCGCCGCCGCTTCCCGCCCTTCTGGACGCGCTCTGGCGGTACGCGCACATCGGCCGGCTGCGAGGAAGGTTTTAAACTTGGGTACCTTCCCCGGGGTCCCCGCCCTTCCCCCGGGCCCCCTGGATCCTCAGTTCTCCCCTTCCCGCTCCATCCAACAAAAAACGCAAACTGAAAACTGCCCCCAAACCCGAGCAAGCCCGGCCCGGCGCCGCGCGACCCCCGCGCCCTGCCCTGCGCGGCGCCCGGCGCCCCGCCGCCCGTCCCGCCCGCGCTCACCGGCTGCCGCCCCGCCTCGGGCGCCGCTCCCCGAGGTGCGTGAGCTGCTGCCTCCGCGGCCGCCCGGCCCGGCTCTCGGCTCCCGGCTCCCGGCGCTGCGCGCGGTGCGGCGGGGACGCGCGCTCCCGCCCGATCGCCCGGTCGCGGGGCCCTCCCGAGCCCGGGGGCGCCGAGGCGGGAGGAGGCGGCGAGCTTGGCCGAGCCCCCTCCTGCTCCCGCGGGCCTGGCTCCATCTGGAGAGGAGCCCGCCGTGAGCAAAGGGAAAGGGAGTCGGAGAGAATTCTCTGTCCTCCCGGGCTCTACAGTGGGTCCCTCAGTCCAACTTTGGTGACAGGAGCTCCGGAGCTGAGCGGGAGGGAATGGGGCAGCATGACCAAGATGTATGAAAAATCCTCAGCCTTGGGTTCAAGTTCAATAAGGCCAGCGTGCTCCATCATGTGCTACTTCAGTTATCACCTCAATTTAGTTCCTCCTCCTATCCCCTTGTACAGGTGCCAATGGACAGTCAAATGTCCCCCGAACAGGGTCCCAAAAGGAGGGACTAGGACCGGGCCAGGAGTGGTTTCAAGTTAGCCGAGGGGGCTCACTACTCCCTTCCGGTAAATATTTGAGTCCTTATTCCAGGCCCGACGCTGATCCGGCGCTGCGCACACAGCCTCCTGGAACTTACATTCCAGAGACGGGCAATATACGTAACCAAGAGGTAAAATATGTAGCTATGCCACGGCGATAGGCGCTGTAGAGAAAAAGTAAGTCAGGAAGAGGACAGAGCATGCTGAGGGTGGGGGTGCCATTTTAAATCAGGTGGTGGGAGATGGCCCCACCGTGCAGATGGCTTTTGAGTAAAGAACTGAGGATGAGAGAGTACATCATGCTGGTACCTGGGGAAAAGGCACTTGCTGGTTCCCCACACTGAGATGTGCTTTATTTTATGCGTCATTTCTTTTACTACTCACAGGCACCAAATTAGGCAGTATTATTACCATTTCCATTTTCCAGAGGAGGACACTGTAGCTTAGAGGTGTTAAATGAATTGTCCAAGGTCATATATTGGTGAAGGGAGGAGCCTGCCTTCAAGCTCAGGGAGCTGGCACCCCAAAGCCCTTGCTTAGCCGCCACTGTCCTGCAGTGAGGGAAATGCGGCAACAGTAGCAGACACGCAGGCTGCTGGTGGTGTGATTAACTCAATCTCCTGGTGCCAGAAAAGGATTCCTGGAAACGACATCTGATTCATTGATTTTTTTTTTTAAAGCTAGTTCATCGTTACATGTAAAGTGAAATATTTTGCAAACCATCTTTTCAACGGTGTGTACATTCCTCAGCCTCATCCACAGGCAGTTTAATTCTAAATGACAGAATCTGACCATCTGTGATGAGACTCGGTCGTCCTCTCATTCTCCGCATTGATTCCCGTTGCACATTCCCGTCCATGAGGATGCCATCCATCACCCCCTGTGCAGTAGAGCCTGTACCGCATGTTGGCAGGGCGAGGAGAAACCAGTCAGAGAGAGAGACAGAACCGCTGCTGCAGGGAGGCAACAGTATAAAGAGGCCAGTCTCTGCCTTGGCTGTCAGAATCCTATCTTTTGGGCAGAGTGCCAATGGTTCATGAGTCAGAGAACAGGCCACATTGTACTGTATAGAAAAGGCCGCCAACTGTCAGTTTCAGAGGCTGAAACTGCAGCATCCAGTGGGAGCAACGTCATCAACAGGATGGCAGAGCTCCCATTTCTCTCCTAGGTAACTCTGCCTCCCCACGGCTGCATCCGCTCCCTTCTTCCCTCCCCCGTACCAGCAATGTCCTCCTACCTTTCCTTCAAGGTCCATCTCAAATGCCACTTCTTCCAGGAAACCTTCCTCACTGCTCCAGCCTCAAATGAGCTCTTATTCTAAAATCTGATATCTCTCTTATGGCACCTGTCATTTTAGAGTTTAACTTTAGCACGGGCTCCTCCTCTGCCTCTGTAAGCCTGCTTAGCTCCTCCGTAGGCTGCATTCTATTTAATTCCTCCGCAGGTCCTAGCATACTGCCTTGCAAGCTGTGCACATTTTACGAGTTTCTGCTGTTGTCGTTGTTAATAAATAAATCGATAAGAACACAGCTTCATTGTCCTTTAATTTTGTTTTTTCATTCCCAAATACCTTTCAAGCTCACAGAAATTTAGTGATCAGACTTAGTTATACATAGCTATAGCTGCTGTTTGTCAGTATAAATTGACTACAGTTTACTTGGAGTAAATTCTGTTTGCCCCATTCTGAAATTGGAAAACAGAGATTTAAGAATAATTTCCCCAAGGTCACAACACTAGTCATTCAGAGAGCCAAGATTTAAACCCAGGACTGTCTGACTTCAAAGTGCGCGCTCTTCGCTACAACCTCATCCGCTCCTCACTCACTCATTCATTCATGCGTGCGTTCATCTGAGCATTCAACAAACATTTATATTTACTGTGCTAGCTCTGCACCAGGCACTGTGAAAATAGCAATGATTAAAACACAGTTATTGTCCTTAAAACTGCTTGCAATCTAGTAGAATCGACAGACAAGTTAGGAAAAATCAGATGTTAGCATTATAAATCTTATGAAAGAGATGCATAGAGGCCCTAGAGGAACACTTTTTTTACCCTAGGTGAGGACAATAAGGATTCACTGAGAAGACAGAATGTAACCTTAATTTTGGAGGACATATAGTAGTTTCTTAGAATGATAATGAAGAAAAGCATACGGCAGGCATATGCAAAAATATGGAAGCATGGAAGGAAACAATGCATTCAGACAATGGTTGCGATACTTCAGGAGGGCTGCAGCATGGCGGGAGCAGTTTTGAGATGAGGCTGGGAAGGTAAGCAGAGCCAAACCACATGGGGCCCATAGGTTAGCTTCCTAGAGTCGATTACACCCTGAAAGTGTCTAAAATCGTGGATGCCTGTGTACGTGAACTTTTCACAGGAGAGGTTTGATAGCTTCAGTCAAACTCTCAAAGCGGCTGACTGATCTGGGCTGGGAGGTGAGGGAGTCAGTTTCCCTTATCACAGCCTGCTGCCCAGTCCATGGACACCCCCAAGGGATTGCAACATCAGCCAGGATGCACTGGATACCCAGAGTGGGTGTGGGGCTCGCCCCTGCCAAATCACCTCCAAATGTGCAGGGGTGCTGCTGGCCCTAGGCAAGGATGGCTGGATCCTGACTGGCCCAGCTCCCCAACCCAGGTCCCCTCTAGGGGCAAAGGGAGGGCATAGCTGGGTAGCCGGCAGGCCAGGAGGCAGGGAGCTGGCAGCTGAGAACATGTCTCAGGGAGGCAGCAGAAGGCAGGACCATAGTGAGCCAAGACTCAGCCCTCAGTGCATGCTGCATTGCCCCACCAGACTTCACTTGCTGTTATGGGCAGAATTGTGGTCGCCAGTTTCCCATGATGAAGCCCTAACCCCCAGTACCTCAGAATGTGGCTGTATTTGGAGACAGGGCCTTTAAAGAGATAATTAAGGTGAAATGAGGTCATACGAGTGGGCCCTAATTCAATATGACTAGTGTCCTTATATGAAGAGGAGACAAGGACACACAGACAGACGTCAGGGGTACCTGGGCACACAGGAATGACCTTGTGAAGAGGCAGCAAGCGGGCAGCCATCAGCAAGCCAAGGAGAGAGGCCTGGAACAGATGCCTCGCTCACAGCCTCAGAGGAGACCAACCCTGCTGACACCCTGACCTTGGACTTCCAGTCTCCACACCTTGAGAAAATGCATTTCTGTTGTTTAAGCATTCCAGTCTGCGATATTTTGTTATGGCAGCCCTAGAAGACTAGTAGATTTACAAAACACAAATTCAAAATTCAAAGTTAAAATTTTGAAGAATTTCAATATGGTGGCCACAGAGCATCAAATCTCAAATGAGGGCCCTCCTAAGTGTGGAGTCCTGTGCCACTGCACTGGTCACATGCCCATGAAGCCAGGTCTTGGGAACATGGGAGTGGCGATCTGAAGATGACGTGGGATGCGTCAGTGGATAGATGTGGTTGAGGCTGTGGGAATGGGTGAGATTGCTCCCTTGGAACATGGAGCGAAAAGACCAGAGAAGAGAAGAGGACTGGTATCAGAAGCTCAGAACACAAATACGGAAGGAAGACAGAGAAAGGGCAACTAGTGAAATAGGGGGTGAACAAGAGAAGGTGGAATCTGATGGAGAAACGCGCAGTAGTGTCTAAGGCCCCAGGTCATGTGATTAAGAACGGAAGCCCATGGGCCTTTGCATGCAGGTCCCATGGTGGGAACTGAGGCCAGATGGCTGCTAGTTAAGGAGAAAGGACAGCAATTACAAGATACTCCTCTAAGGAGGCTGGGGAGGGGGAAGTGGGTGGGCCTGCTGAGGACCTTCGTGCAAGCTTATGAAGACCCGGGAGACCAGGAGACTGAGATCCAGCCCACACTCTGTCGCCAAGGCTGCATGCGCCTACAGGAAGAGCTGACAGAAGGGTTTCTAACAGAGGCACTAAGGGCCCAGCCTTGAACAATAGAGCTGCAGTGGAGCCCTTCTCATTTGTCTATTTACTGTCTGAGTCACCTTGCTACCTCCATGACAGCAGCAACTGTTCTGTCTCCACCAGCACCAGCCGTGGTCCCTGGACATAGTAGGCACAGTCACAAATGCTGAGTAAATGAATGGGATGCAGAGTGAAGGGAAAGGTTGTGTTTGTTTTGTTTTGTGTTTATTCATTTATTTCAGATGAAAGAGACTGAAACATGCTTATTGATTGAGATCAAGCACCCAAAAACAAGAGAAGTTGAAGACAGAGT